GCATAGCTACTACACACAAGCTTAAGCATAGTCATAAAAACTACACATAAGCAATGCATTGGTATAGGCATTGCACTTTTAAGCATAAGCATATGTTTAGCTAATCATCACATTTAGCAGGTAGCCACTTTCGGATATTTGGGTATAAGCATAGCAAAATAGCATAGCAGAACATGGGCATATCAACTCCACCAAAGCCAAACATAGGCATAAGCATCACACACTTTTAAGCATAGACATTGCATAACATAGCTATTGGCATAGGTTTAGTTTATCAGCACATTGTCATCATTTCTAGCTTTGGGCACTAAGGCACTCTTATGCATAGTATATATCTAGCTATTATTGTATTAGCAAGCAGTTTCTTTCGAGTACAAAGGCATAAGCATGGCATAACAGCAGCACAACAACTCCACCAAAGCAAATGGCATAAGCATCACACACTCTTAAGCATAGGCATTCATAACATAGCTATTGGCACAGGTTTAGCTAATCAGCACATTGTCATCAGTTTCAGCTTTAGGCACTAAGGCACTCTTATACATAGGCTTATCTCAACTTATTATTGCATTAGCAAGTAGTTTTTTTTTAGTACAAAGGCATAAGCATAGAATAACAGCAACATAGCAACTCCACCAAAGCAAATGGGATAAGCATCACACACTCTTAAGCATAGGCATTACATAACCTAGTTTTTGGCATAGATGTAGCTGATCAGCACATTGTCATCATTTTTAGCTTTGGACACTAAGGCATCAGCATAGCAAAACATAACCATCATTTAGCTTGAGCATAGGCATCGCAACTACACACAAACATGGCATAAGTATAGCTATTATACACAAGCTTAAGCATACGCATAGGAACTACACATAAGCAACACATTGACATAGGCATTGCACTCTTAAGCATAAGTATATGTCTAGCTAATCATCACATTTAACAAGCAGTTACTTTCAGACACTAAGGCATAAGCATAACAGAACATAGCCATCATGTAATCTAAGTATCGACATAACAACTCCACAAAAGCAAAGCATAGACATAGGTTTAGCTGATCAGAATGTTCTCATCACTCCAGCTTTCATCACACGCACAAGAAAACATAGCCATCATTTAGCTTAAGTCAAGGCATAGCAACGATACACGAGAATTGCATAAGCATATCTAATTAGAGGATTCTCATCATTTCAATTTCAAGAACATAGTCAACTCTTTAGCTTAAGCATAAGCATACCAAATACACAAAACCAAAGCATAGGTAAAGCAACTACAAACCAGCAAAGTGTAGGCACAAAAGCCACACACAAGCAATGCATAGTCATAATAGCATTTGAATGGGTTTACAATCCTCAAAACACTTACCACTTCAAGTAATGAAGTAGCTTGAACTCGATAAAGTCTTCTGTATAATGAAACCACTTAATTCACTAATGTCATATATAGGCAGTAAAACAGACATGAGGGTAAATAGTCCCCAGTTTAATGAAGACAAGCGAAGCTACATTTCTAGCCCATCTCATCAATGGCAGAGAATCTCTTTACAGGGAATCACTGAATTGTAGAGATTCCCAGCAGTGTCAGTAACTGGGCAAATGCATTTCAAATAGCCAAATATTCTAATTCATATGCTCTCATACAAAAAATATAAAATTTGAGTATACAAAAAACGTATATGCAATTCAGTGGGAAGTTTTAATAGCACCATAGATAGATGAGAACAACTGTGTACATATATACATGATTGCAACTATAGTGATATGTGCAAGTCCAATAGCCGAAACAAAATTGCAGTGTGTACACGCAGACGATCCAAGTATATGCAAGCTTTAACAGTATATGCAAATTGATTATACAATTGCATGAAATACAGAAAGGCAATACTAGTGAGAACATGCGCCGTCATGAAGATGATCCAAATGTATATAGTATATGCAAATCGATTATGCCATTTTGTAAAATAGTATATTGTGCACAAAAGCAATGGGTAGTGCATACCAAATCGGACGTAGCACGATGGTATGGATGGAGAATTGACTTAAATTTAGGTTATTGGAAAGGTTACTGGTGGATAATCGAAGCACTCTAACCCCAATTTACCGCCGAGTTTACCTCAATTCAAATACCCATTCACCCCTCACCCACCGTCGCCCACGGTCGATTGCCATATCGAAAATACTTGGACGTATTTTTGAACTTGAATATGATCATGTTTGGTGAAGGAATGGGAGATTTGAAGGAATTTGCGTTGAAACTGTTCGACGCCCTGAATTAGCGGCGTAGATTAAAGGTCAACAAGATCAGTAGAGACAAGCTCTACGAGTACTGGACTCAAATCACTGATAAGAGCTATTCATGCCATATTGCAATCGACTACATATTAGGCTAGCTTAAGCGATTTCCAGTTGCCATCGATTAGGTGGGGACGATCGGGTGAAGCATGATTGGGTGGGGGAATACTGGGATTTCTGTCTCTTAGGACTTCGAACTATTGAGAGTAATTCTAGAATATTAACCAAATTCCTAGAGTAATATGAGTTATTCAATGCCAAAGGACAGTTTAGCAATTACATTATACATTATGTGTCCTGGCCTACCCTTTTCTTTTGAACATGGGATAGAATATGTATCATATCCCTTGTCCTACTAACGAACAAAATATAAACAGTGTTCCGATATAATTTAATCAATCTTATCAGTCCTCTGTTACATATCACCGTAACCAAACTGGACAAAATGGAGTCTCCGATAGATGCACCTTGGCTGAGCGTGTGATGATGGTGACTATGTACTAACGGCGAAACTCGTGGAGGACGACATCGACGTGTGGAAGTGAGCATCGTCGCCAATGGTCACTGAAACAGGTCAGCCTCTGCAAACTTATCGCACTCCATTCAAATGTTTGGTTACTGCGAGCTATGAATTCTTGACCTCCGATCGGATATCCTAACATTGTTCGTCTTTTAGATGTCTTTCAGGTTAGTCTTCTTTGGGAACTCGCTTCTTTAATTTCTTACCTATAACTACAATTCGATGTCTAGGGTTTTTGATAATCATCCGTCATGTGTCGAACCAAAGCTGGAAATCGTTGCTGTAAAATAGGATTCGTATTGTACGCTAAAACCATCGATTTCTTTGACTTGGACATTACCACATTTCATTATTTTCCCAACCGCTTTAGTAATCAGAGATTTATGCTACTAATTTAAACTAATAACCTCTGTTGCTTTCCATGGTAACTCCTTTTTTTATGCTCACATACTGGAACCCTTCTATTCAAGTCGAATTTGTCATCCAAGCGAGTCTGGAAGTTGTCACATACTAACGCGCAGGGGGGGGGGGGGGGTGGGGGCGGTGGGGATATTCTATTAGTTTTTAATGGAACAAAATAAATTGAGAAACTTAAGTAATAAAATTTTCCTATTAATTTAGCGAAGAAATGTAACTCAATTAAGTACCTTCTTGATTATAAAATTAGATAACAGATTTGTAAGAAATGAATGGATCACTTGTCAGTTAACTAATCAATTTGCACAGTTGCTAGAAAATTAGCATTATGCAGTCTTTTTCTCAATTTCTTAATTTTTTTTGTCACAGAAACACTTTGAAAAATAAAACGTAGAATTCTTACACATGAAACTCACAAGGATATAGATCCTCCCCCATTTTATACTTTGAAATGGATGGTCTATTTCTACATTTTGCTAGGGGAAAATAAGGAATTTATTGAACCAACCAAAACAGTCTGCCTGAAGAAGAGCTCTCAACTGAGGGGAAGTAAGCAAAAAGGAAAAAGGAGATGATCTAAAAGAGAGGGCATTGCTAGCTAACTAATCAGCCCCTTGTTGGCAGATCGCTGACACCTGTGAAAGAACAAGTTCTAGCTTCAGTCATCCTATGAATATCACAGATAAAATAAAAATTTCTTCTTTAATAGTCAACCAAATCCCCTTTACATGCATGCAAATTTCAACTCCCCCCCCCCCCCAACGCGCAGAGGGTATGTGTGGTCATCTTGCCCCCAAATCTGGTTAGAATTGTAAAACCACAGTAGGTTATTTACCAAGATGGTGAAATTTTGACAGAATAAGACAAAAGGACTACCATTAACAGCAAAACAGACTACTTCAACAATTATGGGACCCTTGTGGCTACCACCATTGTAAAATTTAAACAGAACTCTCTAGCATTCACGTTTGTTTTTGACCATCCAAAATGCTTTCATGATGGCCATTACCTAACAAAACTATGCTAATAGCTTCTGATGTCAATTTTGCATCCTAAATTCCTATCTGGTAATTGCCAGAACCCTTCCATTTCATATTTTGTAGAATGTTGCTTTCTCTGTGTTGCATCTTCCCTCTATATCCTTTTTATCAAAATTGATAATCAAACTGTGAATCAAACTCTTAAGTTTATATTTTGTGAATTTTCAGATCCAGAACTATTGTAAATGAAAAAATATATATAAATGTAAAAGATTAGAAGTAATGAGAAATTCACAATAAAAATGTGAAAACATATGTGATCATTTAGTAACCCCACCAAGGCTGCCTTAGGAATCAGCCCCTATGGTGAGGCTGCAACCTTGCACCAAACAAGTTTCTCAAGCTTCGTAAATTCTCAAAATTCTATTCTCATTAATTCATTGAAAAGACTGATTACATTCATCAATTTGTAGACTACAAGAATTTCTAATTCTACTAAAACAAGGACTCAAGGCTCATTTCGAGTTGAGCATAGGAAGCGAAACAAACCAGGAAGCTCTTAATTAAAATATTACCTAGTAAAAGACTCCAAATATTACCAAATAAAATACCTTGACCTAAAAGTAAATCTGTTGACCAGATCCTCAACTGATAATTGTAAATTACCAAAATACTCCATGGCACCAAACCCTAAAAATGACATGAAAATAAATCCTGCAGCTTTCTAATGAAGCAGATACATAAAAATTAGACTTGTATTTGACCTCCAACGCGGTTATATGAAATCCTAGATTTGCTCCATGGTTAAATTCCAAAATTGTCTTCATTCTATGCCCTTCATCAACTTGCCTTGTCTCTTCTCAGGCTGAAGGATGCATATACCTTGTTTTGGAGTTCTGTGCTGGCGGAAATCTTGCTTCTTACATTCAATTGCATGGAAGACTTGAAGAAGAAATTGCTAGAAAAATTCATGCAGCAACTTGGTAATTCTTTACCTACCTATGGTTAACAACTGCACTTGCAATTGTAATTTCTAGTATCTATTTTAAAATTGGGTGGCACGTCACACCTCTCACTTTCTTCAGGAGCTGGTTTGAAGGTGCTAAGTGCCCATCATATCATTCACCGAGATTTAAAACCAGAGGTATATGAAATCTATAGAATATATTTGCATTCTTGAATATGTGATTTCTTAATTGGTTTAACTGCACATTTGAATTTTGTACTGTCTGTTGGAGTCTTTGCTGTGATATTTGTTCTCACCCTTCTAGTATCCTGAGAACAATCTCCGCATGACATGCAGCAGTAAGTGATGCTGCTGTTGTTCAATGTTAGTTTCTACTATATTCTCAGTTCTGTTAGGATATTTTGACAATCATTCTGAGAAAGCAACAGCACTTAAGCCTCTCATCCTTTTTCCTCTTGTTTGTTCTTCATTATTATTTCTTAAGAAAATCAAGTCTATGCTTCTTTTTATGAAGCCCCATATGTTGTTTTTTTTTTTTTTCCAGGTTTTCTACCACAATTGAAGAAAAGGAAATATAAAAGCTATCTAAAAAGCAGAGATACAACAATTTGATGTTAGAAAATGTGAAAATGGACTGTTTCCTTGACTAAATGAGGCCTTAGGGTATGCTGGGAGAGCTTCTCTTTCTCGTGTATTTAATTTAAACCTCAAGTTTGGGGGTCTTGACAAGAAAACTTGTCTCTGTAATTTTGTGGAAGTAGACTTCTTTTTGATTTATGACTTGTTATTTCACACACACACACATACACACACACACAGAGATGCTTGGCTGAAGATGAAGCGAGAGCAGCAGTAAGCAGCAGTAATATAGATGAAGAGATGAAGCCCATGGGAGCTGCACTGAAGACGAAATTGGTGAAGAAAACGCCAGCAGTTGAGATGAAGTGGAAAACACGTAACTAGAGATATAAAAGACAAATAAGGAGTAGATACAAAGATTTATATGGTTCAGCATGATGAACCTATATCCATGAGAGATAATAAGTATAATACTGTAATCTTCAACTCAATGAATACATATGATCCAGATGTATTTATAGACACCTAAACATAGGATTAGGACAAAATTTCTTATCTCTATTTGTAATTATCCTAATCTCTCACTTCTAAAGATAAGATCTAAATATGCCTATCAAGATAAGCATGTAACATTGTGTAATACTTATCTTGCGAATCATTTGGCTGTATCTTGTTGATGCAACAGAAAAAAAAAATAAATAAATAAAACAGAGGCTTACCATGACACCTCTAGAAGACCAACAAAGGTCTCTAGCAGGCTCAACAAGTGCTTCCAAAGACTTGTGTAGTGGCCTTGACAAAGCTCAGCAAGGGCTACCATCAAACATCTAGGGTTTTGACTAACAAAAGTCCAACTTCGTGACTTCTTTTGCGAGTTTCAACCCTCTAATAGAGCTTTCCAAGCAATTCTAGGAACCACGCTAGGGTTTCGACCTCTAATGAAGCTTCTTGATCTATTTTGATCACCATGCTAGAGTTTGGACTTGCGACTTGCACTCTTGCTTCACTTTTGACTACTACTGACCTCCCCTAGGTGGATTTTGATGTTGCATAATCAACCCGTGTTGTATGTAACCAACTATTGCTGATCAAGCTTTACGACCAACAACCATTTTTTTGGCTGTAGCTTCTATGCTACGATATGGATCGCAGTTCTTCAAGTGATTAGATTGCAACCACTATTCATGTCCTTTGACTATAAGTTGGAAAACTTTTGGATTTTGTCTCACAATGATGACCTATAGAGGGCTTGAGGAACAAACAAAAGCAATCAATCACATGATTGATTAGGCTTTGATACCTGTTAAGAAACAACAAATCTAATTAGAGATGTAAAAGAGTGATAGGTAGGAGACACAAAATTAAGTGATTCAACATAATCAGCCAACATCCATGGAAGATATTAGCTATGGCACTATAATTTTTAACTCAGTCAATACATTTGATGTAGGTGTATATATAGCCACATAAATATAAGATTAGAATAAACTTTCTTATCTCTAATTGTAAAAAATCCTAATTTTTAACTTTTGAAAAGAATATCTGAATATATTTATGTCAGTCTTATCTCTAACAAAGTATTCATTACGGCTGCTCAACTATAGAGAGCTAGAGTTTTTTTTTTCTTTTTTTCTTTTAATTTTATATATATAACTTTGTATACAAGGGAGGGAGAGAATAAGAGAGTTTTGTGTGATTATGTCTAGGGTTCTTTTAACGCCTATGTTCCTGTTTGGTTTAATTTGCACTGTTTAAATAACTGGTGAACTAGTTTTTAGTTTAAAAGTATTTCCAAAGTGAACTGAACTGAATAAAGTGGTTAAACTGATTAAATAGAACTGAACTGACTCAGTTTGACAGTTTTTACTTATTTATTTAAGCACATCCTAAGTAGTTGCGATGTTACATATATTTTTGATCTCTAAGAAGATAATGCTTTGCAGATGAGTAGAACTTATTTTCTGATTTTATAATGTATACTTTTTTGTAAGGTCAGATATTTTAAAATTGGCTAATATTAGTGCTTATATGATGCAGAACATTCTTCTTTCAAGTCCTCATAGTGAAGCAGTTCTTAAGATTGCTGATTTTGGCCTCTCTAGGTAATCAACATTGGAGGAAACTAGAGTTTCAATCATTTGAGAGTCTCATGCAACCAAAAAATCATTTTATAGGACCTTTGTTTTTTTTGCGTAATCTTTACCTTTTATGTTATGTTTTCAGAAATTTGTGTGCTAAAAAGAAAAATATATTTAATACACTATTTACAGCTTGCAAAATTTGATGCTTGCTCCCAAATTTGTAAACATTTATGAAAAATAAAATGTATGCTTATATTTGTTTGTGAAGAAGCATTCTTGCCTCTATTCTAACTCATCCCAAAAAAGTTTTCTGATTCTTTGTCCTTTAAAAGTAAACAAAAACACTATTCACATCTTTATATAATCATATATGGAAAAGCTTAAATGCTGTCAAACACAACCATAGTGATTTTGAATTTTCATCTATGAGCAGAATTATATGTCCGAATGACCAGGTTGAAACAGTTTGTGGGTCTCCCCTGTACATGGCTCCAGAGATTCTGCAATTTGAACAATACAATGAGAAGGTATAAATATTTCTGAAATTTAAGCTCGTAAACTTATATGAACTCAAGTAAGTATTTTGTAGGTTGATATGTGGAGTGTTGGGGTGATCCTTTTTGAACTTCTTCATGGATACCCGCCATTTCATGGAAGAAGTAATGTTCAGGTAAGCATCTTCGGCTTCAATATTTACTTCAAAAGTTTCTAGATTGGTTGATTAATTACTTGTGATTTCAGATTCTGCAGAATATCCAGTCTTGTAAATGCTTGCCATTTTCTGAGTTCATCCTTCCGCATTTGCACTCTGATTGTATAGATATGTGCTCCAGACTATTGTCTATTAATCCAGGTTTACTAATTTTGCATTGTCTCAAAAAAAAAAAAAAAAAAAAACAAACAAACAAACAGATATTGTGAGCTGAGGTTGATGAAATAGAGTCAAAGCTTGATAATTTTCTGTATTTTTGCAGGAAACCGTTTGTCTTTTGACGAGTTTTTTCAGCATAGGTTCTTGAAATTATAAATGAAGGCAGCACATGAGAAATCAAATCCTTTCAAGCATTAGATTCAGCTTACTGTATGTGCAATGGGTATGATCTGCTCTTCTTTCTGCATCACAATTACTTAAATTGAATAAAAAATCTGACTGAAATGTTTCCTGGATGTTCTATCGCCACTTGTAATCGAAATTATCTGCAGCACCGACCCACAAATACTGAAGGGGTCAGTTTGGCTCAAGCCCTAGGAGATTATCGGAAGTTTTTAATGAAGCGAAATATTTTCAAGTGGTTGTCCTTGTGTCCTGTCGACATCTTTTCATGAAATCGGTATTCAGGAGCAACAGGATGTATAATCAAAGTACTACTCCAATATTCCAATTTATAGGAAGATTGTTGCGGGAGTGAACTACTGTGTTTTTCTTACCAGGCTGACTCAAGATGTCAACGAGTCAGTTTCTGATTTCCGGTTCCATTATTTGGAAATTTCCGCAAGGCTATTAATGTTTTAATTTGTGCAAATTTGCAAACATCCTGATTCCTGATAATGGATCCTCCTGTGTTTCCAGTCCAAACATCTTGGCCCCAATCCTCGAGCGGGTGCCTTTGTGATTGTTGGCTCTTACAGCTGCAATTGACATTTTTGTGGAGAAATTGTTTAAAGCATATGGTGTTGGGACTTCATGGACTATTAAAAGATTGAGCTAGTAAAATTAAAAGAAAAGAGGTTCCTGAAGGCCTGAACTTTTAGCAGGAGGCAAGCTCCCCGTGGTTGTGAGAAATCCCAGGCGGACAGGTAAAGAGTATGACGTAAAACATTAGACTTATGTTCTATTGGGCAAATCTTATATATTTCTTTTATTATATCTGCACATTGCTTTCCTCCTTCGGTTTTATTAAATTTGTTTATGCACCTGTTTCATTAAAAAAATAAAAAAACTATGTTACTTCCATTTTTAATATTTCATGAAAATTAAATGTTCTGATTTCAAACTAATTTTTTGCAGTTTTTTTTTTTTTTTTTTTTTTTTTTTTTTTTAAATTTAAACCTTCTTCTTTATTAAAAAGAAAGACTTCCTAAATTTTTTAGCCGAGCTTTTTTTTTGAGGCCTGCGGTGATTTATTTGCCCTGTAATCTCTAAGACACTTCGATTATAAAAAGGAGGTCAATGGTCTCCCTTAACTTATTCAAGACTCATCTAACATTTATCTGAAAGTTTTTTGAGAGTATTAACATCTTTCAAATATTTGGAGATTTCACTACTGATAAGAATTAGTTATTCAAAAATTGATTTAAACAGTTCTAAGGTGAAGAGTATGAGATGTATCAATGGTCTAAAATTATTTAATGTAAAGGAAGTCGGGTTTGTCTTCATTCCTTATTAGGGTTTATACAAATTTTTATGATTTCAAGTTATAAAGTATGTTTGATTTTTGTATAAGTTTATAAATCAGTTTTTTTCTATTACTCAATATTGATTAGATTTAGATCTTATATATTGATATTGTTAATATGTTTTTGGCTGTTGCTTGTATTCTGAAAAATTATTAATCATATTTTAGTATTAAACTATCATTTTTTATTTGTGAATGATGCAAACTAAATCTAAGTACAAAACAATTAGAGAATTTCTTTCAATGCTATAGGTCTTATGGTCATCTTGTACATTTGTTCATTTTGATGTATTTTTTGGTCATTGATTGATCATAAAAGGATTTACATTAAGTGCAAGTTATCTAAGTATGGAGGTTTGGGAGGACCCAGATAGAATCTATTGCACATTCCACTGGATAGGAAATCTCATATGTTCACTATAAGGGATTGGTTTGAAAATCATTGGTTAAGGTGAATGACGAACAATTAGGAAAGGTGTTACTTGAATTGGTTGTTGAACCGATTCACTTTGAGTGGATATATAGTTATTAATGTTGTATGAACGCAAACTTGACCCAATTAGTAGGCTTTAGTTAAAAGATTAATAATAGAAGAACTTTGTTTATATAGGGATTGTAAATAATTTCAGTTAACTTATATTATCTTTTCCTGTTTCTAGGGATTCGTGGGCTTGTAACAAAACATTGATCACAAATTGTAGGTATTCTTGATCTAATCTAAATTAAATTAAGTGTGATTAATTAAAATCTTAATTTATCGAAGTGCTTAGTTACTAGTAAATTATATCACATGTTGAGTAAGTCCACTACTAGCAAATTAATAAGTAGTAAGCCTAATGGGACACATAAAATGCCAAACAAGTCTATATAGAGTTCACAGTGCTTATATGACTTATGTAATTAGCTACATGAGACTACATTAATTTTGATTAATTAAACTGAGTAAATAAATTATAGAGTGTTAGTTTTATTTGTTTTACTTTGTCCAATATGTTGGACTTAAATTAAGGGCTCCAGCTGTTTTGAGGATGTGGATTTAGTTTTAAACTTGAGAAACCCAAAGTATACATATCCATCTGGTTCAAATGGGTTGGCATGATGGGTCCTTTTAAATGGGCTCTTTGGCGCTAGGTGGAATTTTAGTTTGGTTGTTGTGTGGCCGAATATTCAGCCAGTATAAAACCCATCAGTGGCGCAAGTTAAAAAACCCAAATGGGTGGCTTGGGAAGTTATCGAGTTTTTGGTGCCTTGTGCTATAGCTTCTTTAGCTTGTAGAGCTTTGAATTTATGAAGGAATGAATCTGCAATCAGTAAGATTGAGTGCTGAAGATTCATTCAATCGTGGCGGTTATAAGCTGGAGAAGAGAGCGGTTTTTCTATTGTAGAAAATCATCTACTCTTCTTCTTCTTCTTCTTCTTTTTTTTTTTTTTTTTTTTTTTTTTTTTTTGTAGTTTGCAAAGCAAAACATTGTGAGTTAAGTGTGACGTTGATTCACAAGCTAGGCATTTGGTGCACGTGATCGTCTTGGAGGATGAACACGTGGACATCTCGTGCAATCTATTCCGTTCAGGATTGAAGGTGCATTTTTTTGGAAACGTTTAAACTTCTTCTTCAGCTGGAAGCACAAAGGTATAATATGAATAACTTTGGTTTGAATTGAAATTATGCATGAATAGATTTTATTGTATGTTTTGTGTGTGAGGTAATCAAATTATAGTGCTCAATATGATTGAAAACAAAGAAATCCGCTGCGAAAAACAAATCGCATGACATACAGTTATTTTATTTTTAATTTTTTTAAAAGAAAATAACTAACATTTACTCCCGTGAATCAAATAATAAGGATAATGATTTAGTAGACCCAATTTTGGCAAATCAACCTTTGGGTATAAAAAAACTTTTGCCAAACAACGCCTAAGGATTCTATAATTATTGCCATTAAAGAATCCTTCACCAACTTCTCTTTCTAGATTTTCCACTCAGTGAATATGTTCCGAGAGACTTAATTAGTTTCTAATGTATTTAATATTAAGAATTGACCCAGTGAGTCAGTCATCTTTGCAGCCGTTGAATTAATGTTATGTATTAATTTTAATGTTAATTCAACGATTTTTAACTTAGCGAGTGAAGATCTAGTATCAAATAAATCTTTCTAACATAAGTTATATCACAAGAGATGTACTATTAAAAACTCAAAAAGATAAAAATAAATTACTAAATAAAAAGAGATAAAAATAAAGTGAAAGTCTAACGATTTTTATCAATTTCTTAAGTTGTAAAGCTACAAGAGCCTAGAACTAGAATTTTATTTTCATTTTTATTTTTGTCCACGAGATTGTTGGAAATGTGAAAAGAAACTGTACATGGCCTTGTTAGAGAGGTGCAAATTTAACATTTTCGTAAGGACAATATATGAGAAACAACTAACATTTACTCCCGTGAATCAAAAATGACGATAATCTAATCATTTACTAAGCAGCAAAGCCACCTTACTAGTATTGTGAAATCAAATAAGCAACAATGATTTTAGTACACCTATTTTTTCTAAACTAACTTTGGGTATAATACAACGTTTACCAAACAAGGCCTTAGGGTTATGTTATTAATGTCATTAAAGAATCTTTCACGTTCCCTTTCCGGAATGTCCACCAAGTCAATGTGCTTATAGAGATTTAGTTTCTAAAAAGCCTATACTTGATGCTAGAAATTAGAAATTAATTTAATGGATCAGTCGTCCTCAAATCAACATCACATATTCATTTTGATATTGGTTCAAAGACACGTGACCAAGATTCAAAAATTGAACCGTTTATTGAATCGTAAAAATTACTGATTTATGATTCACCGATCAATCGTTAATTGAACCATAATTAGACCGTAACATTGTAATTATGTAATTTGTATAAATATATATTATAAAAAATAAAAAAGACAAAAATAGTGCACAATTTTATGGAAAATAAATTAGTATCAAAAGATTAAAATAGGTAATTATTATAAGGAGACAAATGTTTTCATTAATCAAGTGGTTATCTCAAATTCCAATCTATTGCATGCCAGAAATATCTATAAAAAATTTTAAAAAGAAGGAAAAGGTCTAAAAACCCAAGTTTTAATATGAGTTTAGCTTGTTAACAGTTCAGAAAAACCCATTATTTTTATCATTCAAATGAGCCCTAAATGATTATACAACACATAATGCAGATGATTTCTCTTGTTTATACAAAGTTGGCATCATTTCAGCATTTATAATTCTAAATATAGCCACATCTCATTGACATAGCACTATTTTGCTTAAGAGGATTAGTAGAGAGAGAGGGATAGCACTATTCGGCCTTAAAGACTATCACGACCCAAATCGGGACCCGTGATCGGCATTAGAATCTAGCAATCCTAGTAAGCCTCACATCAACAATACCAGTCACATCATATCATAATTCAACTCCTCAAATACAAACTAGAATTCTATCTGAGAAAATAAAGGACTATCTAGAATACAACTAAAAAGGAAAACTTGCCCGTACATCAATCGAGTCGTAAAATCAACTCGGCACTCCACTAATGGCAATACGAATAGCCAATTCGATCCGGAAGGATATTAAAAACATCAATCACTAAACTCGGTGAGTA